ATCTCCTTTTATTTTGTTGTACCGGCAGAGTTGTACGATCGCTATCAAAATCAGAAGTTTATTACCACTAATAATGCTAATACTCGAAGAACGCCAAGTTGGATTAAAATTCGCGTCAAGCAATACGCTCTGAGAATTGATTTGAACTCTGAAAGTTCATCAAGTGGAAGTTCACTAAAAAGAAAAGTTAGTTCATTAGGAGGGGCTAGTTCATCGAAAAGTGTTAAAAAATAGCTTATTTAGTTTTCTATTGCTATTTGCTACTTTAAAAAAAAAATTATGTTAGGTTTATTTGACGAAATAAAGATTGTATATAGTAAAGTGCTGTATAAAGTATTTCGGTTGCGACTTCTAGATATATAATTATGTGTAACGGTCCCTTACTGAGATGTGTAAAATCAATTCTTCTCCGATGTGGTAGAGACAATGAACTGTCATTATGGCCAAAAATGCTCTTTTTTCAAACGATGTGAATTCAAAAGTTCGAGTCTGATAAGGTCATGTGAATAATTATAGAAAAACAAATAGTGAACGCAACAACAATTTTAAATCTAACCGAGGATGATATCGATTATGTAATTTAGCAAAATTTTGGAAATGACCCTCACATAGCTTTACCTTGATAATGTCAAATTTCTTCGAGTATAAATAATAAAGTCATATCGATAAATCGTACTCAAATTTTCCGTACAATTTATACGATTGACTGTGACATTGATGTCACACTTCGACACTTCGATCAATGAAATAACGTTTTTTTTACTGCGATATATAATGCCAAGAAAAATTCGCCATCATTATCAGTTGTTTCACGATCACTTGCTAAATCAACTGAACCTGTAAGTGTAAGCTGGCATATTCTTTGCATATTTATTATTATTATTTTTATATTTTTCAGTTTTCAAATGTTGGTCAATTGAAAACTTTTTTACACGATTTACTACACAATTGCAAAAAACACAAAATAGTTTTTTGCCTTCTACGTAAAAATTTTCTCGATAAAGGCCACATTCTCGTTGACATTCACTAGAGGTAATCATTTTTTTTTTTAATAGATGCTCAGAAAAAAACTGCACTAACTGCGCAAATTATATAATATGCTAGATATGCGTCCGATATGCTGGATAAGCATAAGGAGACAAATATGCGGTCGCATATAATATGCGAAAAAAGGGCCGCATATGCACAGTGCTTATTTCCGGCCACCCTAGTTCAACCAATGAACACAAAAATGCGTTCATATTACCTAATTTTGCTTTCTAAACAAAATAAATTGTTTTTCCTTTAGATATTAAGAAAGATGGCTAAACAAACATGAATTATTTTTGTTGTCTACAAGTCCATTATACTGTTTCAAAAATTGATGAAACGTCATTACTGTACCCTGTTATACAAAAAGGCCTTTGAGAAGATGTTATAGTGATTTTCGTGCGTTCGCCTAGCCTTTGACCAACATTCCTGTTAGGTAAAGAGTTATTGCGGCAATTGGAATCGATATTTTTAGTCACGGGTGGGATAAGCTCTGTATTTAATATCGTCATCAAGACTCTCTTTCGGATGAATTTTCGCCAATAATGGCAGCATTTCTGTTTTCTGCCACACGAAAAGACCTCGAGCAGATGTTATAGTAATGCCTGCGCGTTTGCTTGGCTGGCCTTTGTCCAATATTCTTGTTAGACAGAGAGTTATCGCGGCAATTGGAATCGATATTCTTAGCATAAGGCAACGCAATTGTTAGAGTAGTCCGAAGGAGTTGTTGTCACAAGCACAATATACGATTTGTAGTGGCGTGCGAAAAAGTTTATGCGAAATTGGTTTGTAAACATTTTTTTTTTCCGATGCCTCACAAAGCTCATAATGTAAGCCCTGCAAACGAAAATTTTAAAATGATTCTTCGAATACGTAGCGAGTCGGAAAAATGCTAGTGCTATCAAAGAAAGAGGGAGTACGCGGATACTAGGCCATTTAATGCGAGTCCAGCATCAAGTTATTTCTTTACTCTCTCAAATTTATGTCGTATCTATGGCCAATTTTTTTTCTATCACTATGTCCAATTACGAGATTCCATTTTATACAAAATAAACTAGATCCCATTTTCTACAAAATAAACTAGATCCTATCAATGTAGATCACTCCTACCCACACAGATGATAAGAAAAGTTTCCCGAGATCAAATAATTTCGAAATTAAGCATAAAGCTGGAGATTAGCAACGGATGCAAAAAGTAATGTAATTTTACCGATTCACACTTTGTTTTTGAACGCCTAAAGAGATAGGAAAATCAGTTGACTTCTTGACGACATGTTTCAAGAAACTAACTTAACAATAAAACCAAATACACTTTATTGTTACTTTGTGGATAATCCTGTTTGATCAAGGATACCAATGACGCAAGTTTTGATTGGATTTTATTGGTTTTACTTGATTTTATTGCTTATATTTGCGCAAGACAGATGAAAAAATTTACTAGCTGGGAAATCATCTTTTTATATATACTATTTGTAGGAACGATGTTGGAATATACCAAAAAAATGTCTAAGGAATATCTTAGTGAAATATCCTTCTGCGAAAGAGAAAATGGTGTGTCCGAAAAGATAAACAATAGAATCGTTACTTTTAAACAAAAAGAGTAACAATTTGTTTGAAATATTCTTGATATTAAAGTTAAACCTCTTTTAATAATGACAAGGGTTTATCTATCTACGGGTAAGCAATCTTTAATTGAATTTCAGGATTTAATGGATCTTTGATTACAATTTGAGTAATATAACCCATTTTAGTTTTCAAAATTGCTTCCATCAAAAAGACACGAAAAAAACTACAATTATCACACCGCATTACATTATAAATACTACGATGTGATACTGTATTGCGATGATAAAAGATGTACAATGATAAAGAAATTTTCCATCCCACTTTTGGGAGAAAAAATTTATTTACTTCTTGAAGCTTTTCATTCAAAAGAAATATGTTATTCGAACAGTAGGCAAAGGCTTTACTTTAATTGTTCACCTTTCTAAAACTCGTGCGGTTAATCGATATTTACAGTATGAGAGACAAAATCCTGATCTGATCAATTGTAATCTTCATTGACAATTAAAAATTTTCTCAAGATTCAATTTCCTGTATTTTAGATGCTTCTATAGATGTAATACAAACATACTACTGTAATTTAAAAAGCTATGCATGTATTGTTTTGACTAGTTCATCTGATGCGAACAAATGTAATTGGCATACTACTGCATATTCCAATATGCTCGATTTTGTAGATTATAGAGAACTTCAAGGCTTTATTAAAATTGTCGGGAAACCTTATTGATGCCGGGCCTCCTAAACCAGGAATTAGTCTTTGAATTCTTGGATCAGCAAAGGAAGGACGTGTAAAAAGACCTGCTACTTATTCTATTAGGTCCAACAAAAATTGGATTGATCTGATATTTAGCCTCGAACTTTTTCGGATGAAAAAACAACAAAAGCGGTATTCCAACTTGTCTAAGATGAAAATGCGTTGATTAAGGGAACTAATTTAGCCACTCAAAAGTACAAGTGGGTTAATATTGGAAAAGTAAGGACGATATATTCATTTTCAATCACAATCGTCTAACAGATGTTCTATATGTGAAGTTATACATAAAAAAACCCGTTGTAAAAAAATAGATGTTTTGTGCTTAAGTGCTATCTCCAGAACCAGTAAAAACCAAATAATAAAGGATTAGTACTCGATATGGTATCAGGCAAAGTTGAACCAGATGAAAGAAACTAAGATATATGATCACCCGCAGATTTATCTGCAAAAACCATTGATGTTATTAAAATAGAGGAATATTTGGAGGTTTAAGTAATCTACTACGTACAACTCTAATTAATTCACTTGTAGCTAGTGGAAAAATAAAGGGTTCAAGAAAAATCCTTGATTCCTTGGCAAAAACTAGAGCAAATTTACCTTGTTTTATTTGGATTTTGTACCGCAAAACTTGGTAGGAAGACTAAAGCTAAAGTTGAAGATTACGGAATTCCGGACTTTTCGTGTGTCATTATTATCAGGGTGATTTATTATCCAGATGCATCATCTATTATAATATGGAAATTATTCACATTTAGTTATTCTAGATAAAACCAATGCTATCATGTGCCAAATATCCTATGTAATTTATGCTTGAGAATCGGAAATGCTATGCAAAAATTTTTAAAGTCTGTTATCCATGTTGTAGCTATGAAGCTTTTGCAAATGAATCGACTTTGACATTTTTAAAGCAATATCGGGGCAAATATATGCTGATTTTTGATAATAAATATTAGACACGTAAAGATTAAATTTGTAAAGAATCTTTATTATTTACATAAAGGATCATAAATCATGTGTTTAGATTTTAAGATACCTCAGGAAGATAACCGCGCGCGGCATTTTCTGTCTTCTTGTAAAAAAGTTCAGGCTCAAATCAATAAGTCATGAAACCGGATGGATCTTTTATTTTAGCGCGTATTTATTCTGATCAAATGAATGGTAAACAACATCAAGATAATTTTGTCAATATTAAAGCTACTTGAAGTAGTCTGATTGTGTAATTTATACAAGTACGGAAGAAGCCGGAATCTCTTATGAAATTCCTAACCATTAACAATATCATTGCAGGAGTACACATTGAGATCTTTGCTTAAATGCTTTATCGAATTCGCGATTGTCCATAACGCATTTCTTTCTATAATAGTAGAACCCGACTCGGCATTTATAAAATACCAAATTGTAATCTTATTCGTATTTTACAGAACTCTCAGCCTTAAGACCTGGCAGAATAAATGAAATGTATAAGCAATTATACCAACATTTTATCACCAACATTATAGGAAATGAATTTCATTTATCTATCGTAAGATTTTCAACCAGGCAGTTGTATTGGATACAACTTAATAACCCCTATATGTACTGTATATACAACCTTGACTCCAATGGGACAGTCCTTGCTACAGTATAGCACACGTCAATAGGAATAAGTTTTAAGATAATATAATTCATTATTATTTATCAAGATTATTTACTTGTAATAATAGGTACTGGTTTTTCTTTATATCATATCTGGAATTCACAAATAAATTTAGAAAATATGAATGTGAAAACTTACTGGATATTAGATAGACAACAATACAAATGATTTTTGTAAGAATTTAGAATAAAATTTAGAAAAAAAAAACAGGCTTGTCAAAACCTACCAACTACAGTATAGGTTAAGAATCGATAATATGGTTATAGTTAATGCATTGCATTATTCGCCAATCAAGATTAGTGAGTAACTTACAATCTGCAATATCAAGAACAAAAGAGCGTTTCGAATAAATTTGAGAAGCAAATTATGATTGTGAAAATTTATCTGCCACCAGGTCGGCAGTCGATAAATAATTAAAGCCCTTTTCGTAAGATTTTACGAATGAATTCGGAGAATATAGTTACAAAACTTACTACAGTAACCCTGAGTAAGTTGACGGCTGATAATATAGTTAAAGTAGTCTTAGCGTACCGTAAAAACCTATTAACTGTATACGGTATAGGTCAATATAGATACCATAGGCACTTTTCATGTGAAATCTTACTACATACTTCTGAGTCGACAATTGATAATTGATGAATCAAATTTAGAAAATAGGTTTGCAATATACAGAAATAACAATACGTATGGTTAATGAACTGTTTGCCAAAGTTTAAGAATCAAATTTAGAAATATGTGTGCAAACTTGCTTTCAACCAAATTTAGAAAGCATGTATAGTAACATCTGTGATACGTATCAAGAATAATAATATGTATGGTTAAGGCGCTTTTCGTAGAAAAGTTGTTTAATTAATCTTGACTAATTTAATTATTTATAATAAATTGAGAGACATTCGAAAAACACGCACGCGAAAATTTGGCATCTGCAATATAAATAATACTGTACCGTACAGTAGTTAACACACTTTTGAAATTAATATTTTTTAATAATACACTACAGTATCAGTTAATCAGCCGTATATATTATATACATATAATTTACCGTATACTGTCCCCATTAATTTTCTCGTTTTTTTTTTTTTTGGTTATTGTCTTCCTTGTAAATTCATTGGTGATTAATGCGCGTATGAGAGAACCAGAGGCCACTTTGAACGGGATTATTGTATGCATACTGGACAAAAAAATCATCAACCAAACGTTTACGCACTGTAGTCGCCGTTAAATGTGGTCTATGTTCACTCAAACTTACCATGTAAAAATCGCTTGTGTTATAACCACTACGTATTAGAACTGTTCTAGTTTTACAGAACACCGCTCTATTAATGGAAGCCAAGCGTTTCTCCAAACCATCAAGATTACATATATTTAAAAGGCGGTACAATAATAATTTCATAAATTAGGGTTTTCCCCCAAATATACAATAATAACTTAATAATTTATTATTATTATTTTTTTTTTTAAAAAAAAAATCTACATTGCGATAAAAAAAGATCTCCTATGGACAGCAGATTACAGTATAATTCTAAATGTTTTCAATTAAAAAAAAAAAAGGATGTTACCTTATATAATAAAAAAAATTAAAATAGAATATTACAAGCTATGGCGCGTATCTAAATAACGAAACAGCTTCCGTTTTATATGTTCCTTATCCTTTATCGTGGTTAAAAATAATATTTACATTAATAAAGTTTTTATTGTATTATTTAAAACTTCTTTCTATTTGCATGGAATTTTCAGGTCAGATGATAATAAAATACTCGACATTCTGTTATTTGAACAGTAAGACCGAACAGTTCGAAACTTCAAATAATAGTCTCACTTAAAATACCTTGAGACTTTTTATTTCGTCAAATCTTAGTGAAGGGCACATTCTTAGTCCCCGATACGATCTTCTCATCTTCATCCTTTATCATCCCGCCAAAATTTTCCTCCCTAGGCTAACCACCTCCGTTACTTTTAACACTACGCGTGCTCCGCGTACTGCTACTTCTGCTGACCCTCGGTCGTTTACTATACCCTGAAGGAACGCCTTTCCGTTTTAATAAGGGTCCACCAGGTCCATATCCTCTGGCGTTTTCGTATCTGGAAAAAAAAAAAAAAAAAAAAAAAGGAAAAAATTTTCAGTAAGTTGTATTTATATAATTCCATATTAATGTCCTTCCATCTTTCTGGACAACGTAAAACACACCTGTAAGGAAGATCATAATTATCACCGAAGTTCGTTTGTATTGTACATGGTCCCGTCGATCCAATGGTAGGAAACCAAACGTGTTGTAGTTGTGTTCCGGTGAACGCATTGCCCAAGAATGACCCATTCTTGGTAAAGAAGATACCACCCGTCGCCGGGTTATAGCTACAAGGTTAAGAATAATTGAAAATTCCGCAGACGACATATTCCTATCTGAGATATTCATTTATTACTTACGCGCACCCAATCGTATCGCCGACCTCACCCCATGGAGAACCGTAAGAAGTACCGCCAGAGCTATCATTAAACTTTCGACCGTTTGAATGATAACCTACGGAGTGCACGTTTAATCCCGGTAGTCTATTATTTGTTGTTTTTGCAGTGGAAAGTTTTAGATGCATTCAAAGCGAAAATATCAAAATTTAACAACGTACCTAAACGGAGGGTATGGTTTGGTCGCTACTCCAATTGCTATGATGTTATTTTTTTCGGGATTTGACACCACTGTGATTTCAAAATAATGTATGGGCTGCCCCGAACGATGCACTGCCGTCTCAGGTTGCTCGAACGGATCCTCAAAAATCGTTTTGCCCTCTTCTACAGGTATAAAAAATGGATAGTTTGATTGAATCATCGAGTCCGTACGTTTATTAAAATTAATTACTTTTCCATCTTCTGTGATGGAAATAGTTTGTTCGGTCATCAAGGAATCGACGGGAAGCCATTTCCATGCTCTGGCACCTCCTAAATCATGAATTTCTGATATGACATCAAGTGGGGGGAGTTCCTCTTGCGGAGGATGTTCTAACGTGAATCGTTCGGCAATGGCAAAGTTTACCCCGGAAGATTCTTGATTACTGATGTTCCAACATGTATCCGTTGGTCCTGGGATGGTATCAGGTAATATTAATGGGTGGTTCTCGGGGGATCCGCTGACGCTTGTCTTACCAGACTTGGAAATATCCTCGACCTTACTCTTTAGACGTCTGCTGCGAATGAAACGAAAGATTCCGTAGGCGAGGAAAAGAAATAAGAGAATTGAACCCACGACGATAGCTATTGTACATTGAGTTCCACAAGTGGGTGAAGTTTCTGTTGTCGTCGCGCGTTTTGCCCATGTGTCGTGGTTAGAATTGATTTCTCCTTGCAAAAAATTATCACGCTTCAATTTTTCATGGTTTATGCGTGATATTTTACCATCTGACCTTGATTCGCTATTTCTCTTTTTCATCAAACCATTAATATTGTCATCATCTCCTAAATGACTTCTTTTGAGTAAATCTGGCGAATTGCCATAGATTACGCTTGCCGAAGAAAAATTTATCCAGCACAACGCTAATACTGTGAACATAACCAATGAACACGGTATCAGTAAACTTCGAGAATTCCTCCATAAGGAATTGTTTCTTCGAAGCATGATATACTACGAGGTGAGAAGATCGATATGGTACTGGGTGTCGATTCGTCGGTCAAAAATAATTGGGGATGCGAATTCTTTGAGGAAACAACAAATTATCTTGTATAAATAAATGATGTTCTTTAATACTGTATACCGGATGGATGGATGGATGACTTGGGCGAACAATGTGAATAGAAGTTATATGGATTTTGCGTTCTTGTTGGTTATCTGAACGTTATGAATTGATCCTTTTAAGTGTCATCTAAATTAATTAATAGAAAATGTAATGGTTAGGATAAAAGCCTCAGGGAATGGACCGCGCAGTGCATTTCTTTGATAGTTAGATAAATACAATTCACCTACCCACTTTTGTCATTTATTCATGCAAGAAAATTATCAAAAAAAAAAAAAAAAGAAAGAAAGAACCCGATACTACTGAATCCACTCTATTGACAATCGCAAATGCCCAATACAGATTCTTTTTTTAAAAAAAAACAAAAAGGTGAAACAAAAACTTTATAATGATATATTTATTTCATCCGCTTGTTCATTGCTTCCCTGGGTCCCTCCTTTTTGGATTTGTGATGGTGTTTTAAGCGAGAGAACGTCAAAGATTCAAAAAATATTTTGAGATAATTTGTGATCGCAAAAATGTGCTTCAAGCTGCGCCTACTTTAATTCTTACTGAGGAAAAGAATAGAGAAACCTAATGGTAATATTGGATCCAAAAAATGTGAACGTGATAGATTGGAAAAGCGTTGATGAATGCATGAAGCAGCATCAGGGGGGAAGAAAAAGATTTTTCTTCGATAAGAATTTTTTATGTGATTTGGAATTCGAATTCACTATGCAGTACTCATTTGCTAACACAATCAGGTTTTTTGATATAATTATTTTATTTTATTAAAATGTACCATACAGTCTAAATGGAATAAGCGAAAAGTTTCATACGAATACTATAACGGACAATGAAGCTATGACCAGGACATCTAAAATTGTAGCCTAGGACAAAAAATAAAAACCAAAAAAAATAACGGTTATAATACAAACGATATTGGCAATGAGGTGGGGCAAATGGGAAACAGGATATTATAATCGGTAATGCTATAGTATTTATGCGATCCAAATTCGATTTGTTCGAGTGTACAACTCATTAAAATATGTGCACTGGGGCGGGTTGCTGTTTTTTTTTTGTTTTAATTGCATTTCAAATCTCGCCAGCGCATCTTGCCAATTTAAAACAAAGTTTGTACATTTTTAACCATACTAAGTCATCCGGTTTGGATGATAAGGCATGTTCATAGTGATTGAACAGGTGACCGGCATAAGTTGCCGGCTCATAGTAGTTTATTGTAGCCACGGTAGCACATTTATGCACTGCCGCAATTCGCGCCACAACTCACCACAAGGCTTCTTACAGGAATACAGTATGTGGGTTTTATGTCATCACTTGATGCACTCGAGACTATTACAAATGCCTTTCCTGGACAACCCAGTTTGCATACGCTTTTTCATACACAGCCACCACATTCGATGACATTCACTCAAGAAAAACGTATAAAACGTGTAATGCCGATGTCATCTTATTTAACAGAAAATCACAGGAAGTTCAGCACGCGTTTGACAGTTTATAATGATTTTTTCTTCGATCGGTACGTTGTTGAAGTCTTATATGTAAAAAAATGATGCCTGCCGTACCGAGTATCGGTATGTATCTGTATATTTTGTATGTTACTCTTCTTCCCACATTTGTTGTTCGTGCATTGACATTTTTTTCCGGAAATTGCATCGACATTAATATAATCAACGCACATAACTGGAAATCCTCAGAGATTACATACTTACATGCATGTACTTGTTTGTTGACGTCCACCATTTTTTTCATACATACATGCGTATTCGAATTTGCGTGCGTCATATGCCCAATCGCATCATACACGTGACTCTTAAACGAACGGCGTTACAAAAAATGGGATGCAAATAGAAGAGAATGAAATTACTTAAAATAAATATCCGTCCGTGAACAATCCCGCTGTACCCGTTGATTACTTGATGTTTAACATTCCTAAACCGGACTTATTTCGCTTAAATAATCAAAGGCAAGTGTTTGACTCGTGAGCCTTCCTACTGGTTATTCAATATCACCCGCCATTGCCTTTCGGCCTCAATTTACACAGGAAAATTAATTCCTTGAGGAGAGTAAATTCGAAATCTTGGTTCAATCGACTGATTCGATTGTGACAATTCTAAATTTGATGAATCCATATTGTACTTTGTTTCGCCATTGATCATGCAATAAACCTGATTCTGCTGTAGAACTGACGTTGGATATCACTAACGCCGAGGTCGGCACCAATCTGATTTGTTTATTTTACTTTAATAATAGCGAATAAATTTTACCAATCAATTATATTTGTTTATTTAATAAATACTGTTTTTGAAATTTTTTTCGTATTTAAATAAATCTTGATATCATTTGACATTTCAATTATGTCGTTACTTAAAAAAAATTTTTTTTTATTTCAGTCAATATAAATAATATATACTATGTAATTAAATTATTATAAATTAACAATAAAAAAATTTTTTTAAAAAAATCAAAATTTTTTGCTTTATTCATTTCATTTGAATTTTAGAAATAGAAAAAAATAATATACCAAGATTAAATTTGATTGATAGATAATATTTATATATTATCTAATACTATATTATATACAGTATATTTATAAAATATGTATTTCAATTTTTTAAATTTTATTTCGGATAATCAAAAAAAATCAAGTAACATCTTTATTATTAATAGCAAAAAAGTTACTAAAAGAAAAGAAAAAAACTAATTATAAAATATTTAAAAAATTTTTTATCTTTAAAACAAATGTTTTTAAAAATTTTATATAATAAAAAGATTTGTTATTATTTTTTTATCAATTGTCTTGATTTCTTAAAGCTTTCACTTTTACAATTTTCTAAAAAATTTTATTTATTTCAATTTGTCATTAAATTTTTAAATAATATAATTTTTATAAAAAATAATTGATCGATACAAAATATTGATTTTTAAAATATAACAAGCTTTTATTGATAATATTTATATATTTTAATAATATTATTGATAATAAAAAAAAGTTGTTTTTAAACAATAAATAATATAAAAATTAATATCTATCTTTTATTAAATTTTTCAAATAATAAAAATATTTTACTAAATAAGAACTAGGATTTTCAAGTTATTATTCTAATTAAATAAAATTGCAAAAAAATTTTTTTGTCTTTATTATATAAGCTTTCTAATAAAATAATATTAATATTAATAATTATATAAATCAATATATTAATAGAAAAATAAAAATTTTAAATGTTTTTCTTAAAGTTTTATTATTTAAAAATAATTAAATCACCTAAATATCATAAAACTAAAAAATATATTAATTAAATAAAAAAAAATTTTTTAAATATTATTAAACAGATTAAAAAATTTTTAAAAAAACTTTGAATTATTTACTTTACTCTTTATCAAGCTAGATATATATGTTTTATTAAATATTTTATATATTTTATATTAAAAATGTGTCGCTAAAACTAAATTTTTATCTAATTCACTTATTAATATTTTGAAAATTATCAAAACTCTAAGTATAACTTTAAAAGTAATTTATCACTTCATTAATAATTTAGGTAAAAAGCCTTTCAACTACTAACTTTATTATCTATAGGTCACTATTGCAAATTACTCTATGATATTCTGACAAAACTCTAAACCCAATCACTTTATTTCATATTTTACTCTTTTTATTAAAATTTCTTGAAAGCTTTTATTTTCTTCTAGATTTTCTTCTTCTAATAATAATTCTTTTTTCTTAAAAGTATAATTTTTTAGTTAGTGAAACTTAAAGGTCTTTTAGTTTTATCTGCTTTACCAATTCCTTATAATTATTCCCATTCAATTATCTTTTCATATCTCTTATTTCAAATTTTTTTTCAGACTTGATTACAAACTCTTTTTTATATATTTATTATCTATTTTCTTGCTTCTTTTCTTATACATTTTCTATAACATTTTGGATTTACCATTTCTAAAATGTGATTACTTTTTATTAGATTAATACAAAAACTTAAAGTATTTTAACTAGTTTTATAAGTCTGTTTCACTAGCTTATAGATCAATTTACTAAGTTCCTCAAGTTTTTCTTGATTATTAGTAATTAACTTGATACTTTTCTCTACAGTCTTCTTTTTTCTTTTTTTAAAAAGCTCTTTAAAGTTTCTAATAATTCTATCTACTCTTTTATTTTATGTTGCTTGTAGTTGATTCTTATAGACTGAACATTCTAGCAAATGTTCTATAGTTTTTTCTTATTGATTACATATAATATATTTTATTTGCTTATATAGATCAGGTTTTCTTATAGTTAATTTACATAATATTGATAGCCTATTATTGATTAGTTTGATAAAAAAACTTCTTTATTAAAATTTCTTGAAGAACATATCCTATATGTACCTATCATTGATTTTTTCTTGAAATTTGATGACTTCATTTTTTTTCTATTTTATTTTACTGTATCTATTAATGTATTATTATTTTATTGTTAATATTTTTAACAAATTGTCTAATTAAATCATCTAAAGTTTTGTCTTACTACTTGATTTCTATAATAATTTTATGTGAGAGGAAATCTTTTTATTCAATTAGTAAAAGTTTTAGAGCTTTTTTAATAAGAATATCCATTTTTTCATTATAGGAATTATTGGTGTATATCTTAACTTTGAGAAACTTTAGATCTATATTTTTTTTCTTTATTAACTCTGTTATTTATATTCAAGGAAACTAATTTTTCTTCTTTTATGCATTCTCCTCAAATCTTCTTTTCTTATTATTTTTTATTTAAAAATATAGACTTGACTATTTGTATAAATTTCAACTATACTATTAATATAAATTATTAAAAGTATCATTACAATTGTTATTAATTTAATCCTTATAGATGAGGATCAATTGTTTACTCCTGTTTGAAACT